TTATATCCCTAGAGAGTCCTTTTCTAGAAGCCTATTGCACTTATATATAGTCATTGACTCCTAATCCAACTAAGACATTGACTAATCAAACTAGTCAAACTCTAACCTAATAAGAACAAAACAAACCAGTCCTACCACTTTCTTATTAATCAAAGGATAAATATGACAAGAAAATTTGTATGTCATGGGAATCACAACCATAAGATCAAACCAATTAACTAAATATTTACAATGTAATCTCTCCACCATTAAAACCTAGCAATCGAACATGGGGAAGGGCTTATTCCCTTCACTTTAAACGCCATATCACACTCTCTACGTGGAACTTGGAAAAAATATTTTGAAAACATGTTTTTAAAATAAATATTTTATTTCTATAATATTTATTTTTTAAACAAACTTATTTTCAAACATTTAAAATGCACTATTAACAGTTTCCAAGTTTTCCATTAGAGAGAATTTGCTCAAAGATATTCTTTTTGTCCGACAAAGAGGCAAATCCTATCACAATGATTACTTGTATCCAAATATCATTCTAATATACTCCAAAATACCCAAGTATTGACCAAGGACCTCATTGATTGACATATCAAAAATAGGTAAGTCTAATATCCAATAAAGTACAATTACCAAGTCCAAGGACTACATGCAACAATCCAATTGGTCCACCAATCAAAAATTCTAGAAGCACATTGGAAATGGTCTGGTTCAGAGTTTCATAAGCTCCCACACTTTCACCTTGGCTCTAACCCAAGCAATTGAGGCACACAACCCCATCCCTTACGTAGTATAAGAGTGTCAGCCTTGTCAAGATGATCCCCTAGGTTAATCTACCGGTTAAGAACATTTAGTCTACATAGTCTCATAAAATAGTCCTAAAATGTAGATCAAGGGTATGATACAAATACACACACACACACACAAGATGGCACATAAAATGTATAAGAAACTCAGCTTTATTCATAATAAAGTAGATTATAAGCAACATGAAATGGACTCCTAGGGCGTATTGCCTTTATCTTGGTTCACTTTTATTTTTTTAGTTATTTTTTAAACTGATTCAGAGGGGTCAGTTTAAGGCTTATCTACCCCCTGAACCAAGTCAGACCCTGAAACGTCCACTGTATAGGTGTATCAGAAGGCCACCAATACGGTACATATTGGCTGATACAGCCCAATAAGTATTGAAATTTTAAACCTTGACTAAGATCAATCTAGAGAAAAACATGTGTTTTTCTTGTACTTATTGTATAGTTGTTTTTCAGAAAGAATAAGTTAGTTAGAGTCATTTTGTTGAAGAGATTTTTAAGCTTAAATAGTTTTAGAGGTGAGATAACCTGAAAAGCCCTTGAACTTGTACAATCTTACCTACCTTTTGCAAATCTCTTCACTAAGTTAAGCATCAAAAAAGACTATCAACTAAATAGTTTATGTTTTTTATTGTTACATCTACTTATTTAGAGGATTCTTTTGTTGTAAACCTGCATGAGCTAAAAATAACATTATCATCCTAGGGTAGATAGGTGTTCAAGTTTTAAACACTATTAATGTCTTATTGGCACCTCTACTAATCCCAACTACAAGGTCTTGTAGGCACCTGGAAGTCCCATTATTGATTAGGTCTTCTTGGCACCTATTAATTCCAATTGGTTTAAATCTTGCAGGCACCTGTAAAGTCCTATTGGTCCAACTATTTAGTGGAAATTCTTAATAGTGATTCAAAGTAGGGAACGTAGACAGGGTTAGCCAGACCTCTATAAAAATCTTGTGTGTGTGTGTGTGCTTTATTATTTCTATCTTTCTTTAACTATTTTGTTTCAAGTTCTTGCAGTTATCTTGCTACTAACTTACTAACATTCTTTGTTAACTACAATAACTAGAGTTTCTTGTGATCTTAAAGTCATTACAGTTTTCTTGTTGATTTTCTTTTGATCTATAAGATACAAGAAGACTTAGTATAGTTATTGAGCTACTAACATCACTTCCTTCTCATAGATACCCACTTGTAGTTGGTCTGTATCTCAACTACCTACTAGTAGTTGATCCTCTCTCTCCAATTGCTAATTCAAACACACTCATTTAAGCAGTAGACATTCATTTTACTGATTTACTTTCAATTGCCATTTAAATTTCAGCAATTATTTACTTTCAGTGCTTTTTTTGTCTATTTAACTATGGCACAACTAATCTAATAGATGATTGCAATACTTATTTGTTATATTTCAATTTAGGTGTATCCACTTGTTAGCAGCTATTTAACTACTAACCCTTATTACTCGTGCTTTTATATTGTTCATTTGTTTTTTGTAGCTACAATCTTATTTCAACAATAGTGTTAGCCATTGAGACTATCATCTTGATTAACTATTGAACTAAACTGACTAAGCCTTTATTCGACTACATCTTGATTCTAATTATCAAAAAGGCCTAGCTTTAGTTTTAGGGAAAGAGTTTTGTGGTTTACTTGTTTGTAGCCAAAGATTTTTTAAGCTTTACCTAATTCACCCCTGGATAAGGCCATTGACCCTAACAAGTGGTATCAAAGCAAGCCCACCAATCTATAAGCTTAATAACTTGGTGAACAATGGTTATTCATGTTAGTGCTCCATTTTTCAAGATACTCTATATTCCTATCTCCTATCTTTGATGGTATTGATTTTACCTACTGGAAGGCTAGGATGAGAATTAACCTCATCTCCATGGAGTACAATCTTTGGGAAAGTATAGAGAAAAGGCAAATAAACCTCTTAAAGAGAAGTTTGAGCCAAGAAGAAATTGGCAAAATCACTTCAAGTACATCTGCGTATGAAATTTGGCAAAGATTACAATTCTTGCATAAGGAATTAATTACATATGAAATGGTTGTTGAGTTTGTGTGAAAGAAAGATGATGAAATTAATCAAGATTCATCCATTAACAAGGAAAACAAGGAAGAGGTCATTATTGTAAGATGCCATTCCACTTGTACCCATGGTAATGATACACAAAGTATTGGATCAAATCAGGGCAGTATCAAGATTTGAAGTATTTCAAAGGTATCGATCGGCTGATATAGACTAATAGTTACCTATCAATTATTGATCAGGTTACTATCAATCTAGCACAGGGCACAACTGGAATGGCCGAATGGCTGAAACCACTTTCCATTCTACCTGCAAGTATCCACATACATATGGACTGATACAATCTATGGGCGAATGAATTGGCTGATACCCTCTTATTATATTTGCATTTGAACTTTTGTCTCTCACATCATTTCGTTAACTCTCTCACATCACGTCATCAACTTCTTCATTCAATTTCAAATTTCACATTACTAAAATCATTTACTCTCATATATTTAAGCCTTTATTCAATCTCATTAACTTCTCTTACAAATTCAAATTTGACATTTATTGACACCATTAACTCGCCATAATTATCTCATTGACTTCTACACATTAACCCACTAATTAACTCCTATCTAAAACCATTAAATTTGATACCCTAATCAACCCCATAATTGGGAGGATATGAAATTGAAATTGATAGAATTTAGACCGGCGTTAGGTCTTTAAGATGCAAGACAATAAGTCCACTATTACCCCGTGTTTCACCTTTCCTAATTGCATGGGCTCTAAATTTTAACTACCTTCTGAGATTTTCCATTTTAGACCCATTAATTATTAATGGACTTGTGGCGTTAGTAATGACTGCAGCAAAAAGTTCCTAATTGCTACGGTAAGTCCATTACAATTGTCATGACCACTACTAAAAGTTTGATAGTCAGTATAAGTCAATGAATTGCTATTCAATATTTTTTTAAACATTTTCCACAATTTTAATAGACTGACATATACCCAACTATATTGGTAGTCCAAACTTGTTAGATCTATGGAGTTTTTCCAAAAATTAGAAAAATCCAAAATTTATAAAAAAAAATAATTTTTGATAATGTTTTAAATGATTTTTACTGGAACAATGAACTATAAGATGGATTAATCTACCAACAATTTATGTCAAAAATAATTTTTCTTATTTTTTTAGGACAAATCTGAAAATAAAAAAACAATATTTATTCTAAATTATTTTCATGGTAAGGAAGAACTATAAAATGAGTTTATCAATAATCTAGCAAACTCATTGATCTTACAATTTATTGCCGTTTAATCATTTTTTAGTAAATTGGAAGCTCAAACTTTTTTTTTTCGATGTATTTTCTAGAAAATGTTTTGGAAAGGTTTTTGATATATTATCAGTAAAGTTATTGTATGATATTTACATTTTCTAGATTCATGGTATTGTTGTCTGTAACATATCTCTTCAAAACATAGTAAAGTTTTGAAAGTGTGCATTTATTATGTGTTTATACCTTCTGCAGTTATTTTAACATTAGATTTAGTGCTATTGATGCATTTGTCGGACTTGTAAGAATCCCCCAATTTATCCGAGTTAAATCGTGAAATAAGAGAAAATGTGAGTTAAAATCCAAAACTTAAATAATTGTGACAAACAATTGAATCATGATCAAGTGGTGGATTTGTTCCCTCCCAACCAAGAAATTAGCGTTCAAATTTCCTTATAGTAGCATTTTGCAAGAAAAAATTTACTAGGGAACACATTCGAATTTGAATTGACGGCACTATGGTGTGAATAGGAGAGAAAATTACTGACCAATTACTGAGAAGAAAAAGAGTGAGGGAGCTAATTAGAAAAATAGTAGTGGCCAATCAATGAAAGGATAAAGCGTGGGAATTAATTAGAAAAATAACACTGGTGAATTTATTGTGAAATAAATTCGAACTTGAATTGATGCATGAACAGGAAAACTAATTAGTGGTGAATTTGAAAAGAGAAATCTGTATGTACCAGATGACCCGGATGGAATGAAATAACGTTATAATCACCAATTTCACCCACGCCGCATTCCATCAAGCCTCAGAAACAATACTTATCGGCCCAGGAGTGAAGGACCAATATGTTGCAATATTTTGAACCTTTCTCAATGGACAAAAAGAATAGGGATCCTTTTAAGTTATCACCCATTGAAGTTATACCTTGATCTTCCAACCAAAATCAAGTTGATAAATTGAGCATACATCTGATTAAACATTCCAACCAAAATCAAGTTTCATCCAGAAGAGAACCAACGATTTAAATAGATCAATACCATTATCCTATTATATTTTCACCTAAAAAAGTCTCGTGTTGAAACCAATCACTTCACAGCATACTGTTGTACAAATTCACTCTTGTATATTAGTAACAGGGATCGTTTACAACAGCTTGCACCCACAAGAACAATTGATCTTCATTCTTCAGGTTGATGATATCTTGCGCGGTCTTCTAGTAATGTACCTGCTGGTTAATGGTACAGGCGTACAGCTAGATGGCATGGACCCAAGGCAGACTTCTAAGCATGCACTAGGATAGTTTCAGAAGCATTTCCGGTGGACAATTGATGGTCCAGTTTCATCATAGTCTGCCTTGGTCACATGCTGGTTTTGTGGGAAGACAACTTTGGCAAGTATGGCACCTCCCATCCATGCTGAGTTCTTGGTCAAGTTCTCTGGCATATATTCAGGGGGCTGTCAAAAGAAAAAAAAAAATCAGATATTATAGCAAAATTATTGCACGCTTAAAGATGTATAATCCATCTCTTTACACCCCAAGATTGCAGAACTGATGCCCATTGCGGGGTGCAAATCTCGTAACCTGCTTTCAAGAATTTCAACTGCATTGGGCCCAGGCCCTTGCGCTGGGCACCCCTTCAAATTTTAACAAATACCCAACCCAGGCCCGCCCAGGCTGCACCCTTGGGCCTTAATGTCCATCAGACCAGGCTCTTGAATCAAGGCCCACCTTAAAAGACAGGGCACAAACTCAAGAAACGTAAGGAGCAACAAATCAATTAAATAGATGAGAAACGTATGTAACAGGCACCAATTGGTTCAACAGCTAAGAGTCTACACATATATGGCTTGTAGAAAAGTTTAAACATGGAATTTTATCATCACATAGATAATAAATAACTACCTTGACAAGAGAAGGACGGATGGCTGATGAGCATAAGTTAGATTCTTTTTGGAACCTCTCTTCAAATCCTGCAGAAATCAAACCCCACATAAGCAGTTCTAAAAGTGCAACTCCTTGTCAAATGAAGTTCATGAGCATTGTAACCTACATTTTTCTATTGGGTATCTCACCCTTAAGCTGCATTATGACAAAAACTTAGCTGAATTTGTCTTAAGAGTTCATACATACGTTGGTCTCAAACTCTCATACCATGTAACAATGTCCAAAAGAAATCAACTGAACTGTTCCTTTAACATTTAGGGGGTGTTCTTTTTGGATTTTGAGAGGGGGAAAGTTGGTCAATGGGATTTTGGTTCCCACTGACCAATAATCCCATGTTCATTTTTCAGATTTATGTGGGGACCAGGGAAAGTTTATTTTCCTGGGTATCACTTACCCAGGTACATGATACCCATCTCCTAGGTGGGTAAATAACTTTCCCACCTAGGGGGAAAGTTGCCAACACTTGAATGAGACAAAAATGCCCCTTTTAATAATGGATTTTTAAGGCTAAAATGGTCATTACCTTATTTACCTAGTAAATAAAAGAACATGGGTAAATGCACTTACCCGGATAAGTGTTTCCCAGGAAAAACTTACCCGGGTAAATAACTTACCGAAAAGCGAACAGGGCCTTAGTAGAGTTACGATTTTCTTCCCATTTATTATTAGGGTAAAATATAAAAACCTCTCCTGTAGTTTCACAAGAACCTGCAGTTACCTCCCATCTTTGTCCCAGTAATGGAGACTTTAAAGTTACAAAACTACCCTTACAACTTATTAGGGCATCTTTCAATATAATTCAAAATGTCAGACTTACCCCTCTAGACTTCACTAGACCTAACTTTTTATGGAGTAAAATTACTTATTCTTTTGGGGAATTTTTTAATTAAAAGTAAAAAAAATATATTTGGGGGTATTTTAATAAATTTCCATCTAAATTGATAAATACAAGGGTAAAATAGGCACTTTTGAAAAACTAATGCATCTGGCCAATGTTTTCCGCCCAAGACAATAAGTAAAGGGAGGTAACTGCAGGTTTTTTCAATACTTCAGGGGAGGTTTTGTGAAAATGAAATCTCAGGGGATGTTTTTATGATTGTCAGAAACCTCAGGATGTTTTTGTATTTTACCCTTATTATTAAAACCATAGCTTTAGTTTTTCCTGTATTTTAACCAGTGCACAAGATCAGAAAGGACAAGATGAAAGCTGAAAAGGATTTGGATCACTATGAAGAATAACTTTTAGTTCTAAATATGCTACCTACAAAGTGAATCAAGGGACTTGTGAAGCAAAACCAAATATAGTTGGGATGAGGCTCTAATCATCAACCAACCAATTGACTAACGAAAACAAACAGGATTGTATTTGCATTAACCATGTGATGCAGACTGCAGACTTCTCCTTTTAGACGATATAATAAGAGGGCCTCAAGTGAAAGAAAAATATACCAATCATAGATGCAGTGCCACCACAAAGTACAGTATTTTCCAATAGCTGGCGGTGATTCTCAGATGACACACTTGAGATACTCCGAACAAGCTGCTCAACAATCCCATGCTCCTCCAAACCAAGTATAGATGGTTGAAACAAAGCCTCACCAACAGTATACCTTTCTCTTTTGATGGTTATAACCTAAAAACCATATTTGCAAGGATAAACCTTTAATGTATCCAAAATAAAGTTCTACACTAATAAGTACAATAAAACATTATGATATGTATAAAAGGAAAATATAAAACAATCATGCGTAGTGTGTTAGTGGTCCATTATTGGCAAAGTAATACTTCTGATGGATGCTATGTGATTGACCTTGCCTCAAACTTGCTGAAGGATCCAAGTGGAGATCTTTAAGTTAAATAGACGATCACAGCCTATCCAATCTCTTGGGCATTTGCAATTAATTTGGCAATTACTTTCTGGGCCATCCTAAAGGAATCTGATGAATATAATTATCAGTATCATTTCCTAACAAAAAGTTTCAATCAAGGGCTTGTCCTAGGTGGTGCCTACCATTGGCGGTTCGTGAAATTTGCTTGTAGTCATATTTGTCTAGCCTTTTATTAATTTATATAACTAAACCTAGCATTTAGTCAGGGTGCTAATTTGTCATGTTCTACCAGCAAAGCAAAGTATATTAGCTGGGGTTGGCCAAAACCTGCCCACTTTTCAGGCTACCGTGCCAAGTCAGCCCATGTTTCAGGCAAGAAGAAACTATAGTGCTCTACAGAATCCTATTGTACTTGGTCACAATTGTACATGCAATACACTTCGCAGCAATACTGCAATATAAATTATACTCTGCCTTTTTCAAGACCTAAAATTTGAATCAATGTGTTTGTACATAATATATACTGTTAGAGCTAGCCAAATAAGGGTAGATTAGTCATTTTATTTCTGTGGCAGTTTTAATAGAGACTTCCTATCCCATACTTAAGTGGGGGCAGTTTAGTCTTTGTACAACTAATTAGAGGCTAATTCATATGGTCGACTGATAGGGTTTAGCTATCAGATTTGACTGTTCCTTCTTCTTCTTCTTCTTCTTCTTCTTCTTGAGCAGGACGTTGCTCTGATACCATGTTATCAGAGCAGGATGTTGCTCTGGTTCGAACTGCTGAAGCCACTGAGCAAACATGGTATCAGAGCAGGACGTTGCTCTTTAAATCTCTGCTCGTGACTGCTGCTCCTCTCTGTTCATGACTTCCTTTTTCTTCTTTCTGGACTGCAAATGGAGAACACAGACTCGACCTAGGTCTGAGAACACTTCGGCCTCTCTTTCTCTGCTCAGAACTTGATTGCCTTTCAAAGAGAATAACTCCAGAAATAAGTGGATGGTTGACTGAAGCTCTCCATCAAGGTTGGTTATCCTTTTTTTGTGCTGTTGGTGTTTCTGGGTTGGAAAACCCTCAAAAATCTGCTCGGACTGATCAGAACCTAAAGAACTAGGTTATTTGTAGCCTTGGTTCTTGGAAAAAGGTCCAAGAACAGGCTGTGTTTACAGTGAGCGAATGGTTTAAGGGTTACGGCAGTTGTAGTAGTTCATGTCTTTGGACTGGTAGTGACCTCTGAAAAAAAGGTCAGACAGACCTGTACCATGTGGGACAGATATGGTTGTGTGGTGATGCTTGTGATGCTCACCCTTTATTGAGCAGCCTCAAGAGGGCTTGTATGTGGTTAGTGAATTGCTGAATTACTGTAGTGGTGATTTATGGCTCTGTGTAATCAGTAATGGTGTGAACAAGAACAAAAGTTGTGTTTTTTTTTTTGGGCTGGAAGGAATGGCCGAATTGCCTACATCAACTTTCTGCCTTATTGGTGTTGTCTGAATGCTGGTTTACCTTTTGTTCTAAATCTGAATGGTGGTTTGTGCACAGTGGTGATTGATTGTGACTTGTTGTGAACCTATCATCTGAGTTTAGCTGTAGTGTTGCCTTTGCTGCTGTAGTATTTGGTTGGTGACTGAGAGTTCACCATTAGAGATAGAGGTGGGGGGACATAATGGCAGCAACGGGAGATGATTCTAGTGATCAAAAACCGAGTGTGATGATCCCCTCCAACTATTTGGGTGTGAAAATGACTTCCATTAAACTTAATGGTGAGAATTATGTGCCATGGGCCAACTCAGTGGAAGTTTTCCTCAAGGCAAAGAGGAAAGTGAAACACGTGAATGAAGATAAACCATCAGCTGACTCTCCACGGCTTGATGACTGGGAACAATAAGATGCCCAAATCATGACATGGTTATGGAATAGTATGGAACCCAAAATAAGTGCCAACTTTATGTTCTTAGATACAGCTAAGGACATATGGGAACATGCCAAGAAGCTTTATTCTGGACAGGATAATACTGCAAGGGTATATCAGCTCTATCAGGAGTATTTCGATCTGTAGCAAGGGAATAAAACCATAGAAGAGTACTATGCCAGTATGAAGAACGTCAGAAATGAACTAGTAGAAACCACTATCTGCTGATTCGGTCAAGCGTCTTGTAAAAAGGAAGAGGAGAAAGTTGTAGATTTCAGCAAATAGAAAGAAAAAAGGGAAAAAAGGAGAGAAGGTCAACTAGGATTGTGTGTCATAACCCTAGCCGCCAGCCCCTCATTCTATTTATAWTTAACTTAAATATGAGATATTACAAAGATGCCCTTAGTAGGGCGGCAACTCAAACTAAATAGTTACAACCCTTTTAAAAATAAAAACTAATGGGCCCAAAGCCCAACAACTTCTTAATTTAAAAGAAAATAAACTAAACACAGATCGGCCCACTCAACAACACAAATCAGTGGCCCCACTCAACAGAACTCAATGTCTATCATCCCCTCACTCCAGATGTTAAGGTTCAGCAACAACAGAGGGAACAACTAGATGTCACTAGGTTCTTAAAGGAGTTGAAATCAAAGTATGAACCAGTTAGGGCCCAAATATTGGGAGGCTCTACTCTTCCTACACTTGAGGAAGTTTTTGCATGGCTTCGCAGGATTTGTTTGGGATCTACAGAGAATCCCACACTGTCTGACAGATCAGCATTTGTGATAGCCACAGGAGGTGGATGTGGTAATAGAGGGGGAGGACATGCCTCCCGAGGAGGTCATGGTGGTTCCATATTTGGCCGTGGTAAAGGAAAAAGTAACTTTACAAGGAAGTGTACCCATTGTGGCAGGGACGGACATTTGGTGAATTTCTGTTATGATCTCCATGGCCCTCCTTCTACATGGGCTAATCATGTAGTAGCTGGTGGGGTTGATGTCAATGATAACCAATAGGCAGATCTAACACCTTCCACATCTACATCTGTTTCCAGGAAGGAGATGGTGAGTGTAGCGATGAGTATGAGAGGTTCCTCCAGGCTACTTCACAGCATACTACAGCCACCCTTGCACACTCAGGTATAACTTGTCTGGCATCCAAACCCTCTCCCTGGATTATTGACTCTGGAGCCTCTGATCACATGACCGGGACTTCATGTGTGTTCTCTTCCCTCTCAGAAACTTCCACATCTCAAACTGTTACCCTTGCCAACAGTTCCTCTTCTCCCATCTGTGGTGTTGGTAATGTTGACACGACTTCTCTTACTTTATCATCTGTTCTATATGTACCTAAATTTCCATTCAATCTTATGTGTGTTAGTAAATTAACTAAGACTCTTAATTGCTCTATTACATTTTTCCCTTCCATTTGTGTTTTTCAAGATCTCAAGACGGGGAAGAAGATTGGTGGGGGGCATGAAGCCGGTGGATTGTATTACCTTGACGGTGGTGGCGTCAGCTACACTTCAGACTTCACTCACTCCTCTACAATGGCATTGTCAACTAGGACATCCATCTCCCAAGGCACTCAAGATACTAGTTCCGTCTTTGAGTCATTTGTCGTCTTTACAATGTGAGTCGTGTCAGTATGGGAAACATCGTCAGGTTCCCTTCAGTCCTAGAGTTGATAGTCGTATGTTGAGTCCTTTTGCTTTGGTTCATTCAGATGTTTGGGGTCCGATTAAAATAGAGTCCTATAATGGTTTCAAGTATTTTGTCACTTTTATTGATGATTGTTCAAGGATGACATGGATTTATTTAATGAAAGAAATGAGTGAATTATTTTCCATTTTTCAAAAATTCCATGCTGAAATATGTGCACAATTTGGTGTTCCAATCAAAGTTCTTCGTTCAGATAATGGTCATGAATACTTTCTTACTTCCTTTCAACAGTATTTAGAACAGCATGGCATCATTCATCAAACTTCTGTGCATCCACTCCTCAGCAAAATGGGGTGGCTGAACGAAAGAACCATCATCTCCTTGAAACTACTCGGTCTATTCTTCATCATATGAGTGTTCCTAAACGATTTTGGAGTGATGTTGTACTTACTGCTTGTTTCCTTATTAATCAGATGCCCTCCTTCATTCTTCATGGTCGGTCTCCCTTTTCTATTTTGTTCCCCACCTTGTCTCCCTTTCCATTAACACCCTGCGTCTTTGGCTGTGTATGCTTTGTTCACAATCTGAGTCCTGGGATAGACAAGTTGGATGCATGCTCTAGTAAGTGTGTATTTCTTGGCTACTCTTGGACCCAAAAAAGGTATAAGTGTTACAATCCCATTACTCGGAAGTGCTATGTCTGTCCTGATGTCACCTTTTTTGAGTATGTCCCCTTCTTCTCGGGACCTGAAGTATTGGTGTCTCCACATTTGCTTCCTCTTCCTCTTCCAGTCTGTGATCCTGTTCCAGTTGGGGCTGACCCTTCACCTCCTCCAGTGCAGATCCCTACTAAACGACCACCGATTTGGCACGTGTATACTCATCAACAAACACCAGATCCTCCTCCAGCTTCTACCTTGTCTGCAAATCCTGTTGTTGCTCCTGTCCCAAAACCTTCAGGACTTGATCTTCCCATTGCTTTACGGAAAGGTAAACGTAGTTGTACCCTCCATCCCATTTCCAATTTTGTTTCAATCTCTCGCCTTTCCACTTCAAATCACCAGTTTGTTTCACTGTTGCCATCTATTTCTATACCTAAGAATGTCCAAGAGGCTCTTACCTCACCTGGGTGGCGGTAGGCAATGGAGGAGGAACTCTCTGCCCTTCATCATATTCAAACGTGGGAGCTCACTACTCTTCCTCCCGGTAAGCATGTTGTAGGTTGTA